AAAAGTTGCTTCTGTTTCTCAGTTTGTGTGTGGCGTCTGCCCTTCCAGCAGGTGACTCTGTAATTATCTGAGACGTTGCATATTCTAAGTCAAGCAGAGACTGGCAAAAAGCGTTTGGTTTTCATTGCAAGGCATGCCGGCGATGTTTATCAAATTCAGTGTAAAAACATTGATGGTTTGTACTGTTAAGATGTGCACAAAAACGTTTCACTTATTTTTGCTTCTTTGTTCTTAAAAATGACGCTCATCCTCCCTGTTGCCAGTCTTTACGGCTGCTCGTAATTGGTCATCTGAATGGCTGCACATTTGAGTGTCCTGCGTTTCTTTGCCAAAAAACCCACCCTGCTGAAATGTTGCCAGGAAGCGTGTCGGCACCCTTTAAGACATCGAGCGAGACGAAATCGCACATCCGTCGGTTTGGGCTGTGTGCCGTGAACACACGTGGGTTGGGCAGAGCTTTTGTCATAACGGTGGTGCTGGTGAGATCGTCTCCCGTTTCGTTTTTGCAAACACGACTGGGTTTCTCGATATGAAGATTATACAAGTTCATAGAAAGCAAACTCAGTCATTCGGGTCTGCGTTCGCTACGTGGCACTGCCACGCAGCCTTCTCTGGGGAAGCCCCCAGGAGGAACACCAGAGGCCAGAGGGACAAACGCCCCCTCGACCTAGTGTCTCCACAAAGGGGGTCCCCACAGTCCGCACGGACGGCGTCCCCGGCGCGTACATCCTGTGTGAGAGCTGCTCCGAGGCCTTTGTTTAAAATGCCGCTTTCATGTCTCGGATCGGTTTCAGCTATTTAGGTCACTTGGGGATGTTTATCTTTCCTTAATTTTCCTCTCGTAGAAAGGCAGGAACCACTGGACTCACTCCACAGGACTGCAGATTTTATCAGGTGTGATGTCACCATGCACAGCCTTTCACGGTGTGACCACTGCTGGCGAGAACTCTCTGCCATAGAAATCCTCCCAGCGTGCTGCTCGGGCTTTGCCTTTTCTCTCATAGTAAATATATAAATATATGTGTGTTACCGTTGGGAGAGTGCTCTGAGCTATGTTTTCCACACGCGTGGATCACACGTTGGAAGCACTGCAGCCCGGCGCTTAGGCTCATGGCATTCGGTGCCGGGCCCTGGGAGCTGGCACCGGTAGGCTGACCGGTGCGGGTGGGAACAGCTCCACCTAGTGGTGACTCTGGGAGTGGCAAGCAGGACGCAGGGCGACCTCCACAGTCTTTCCTGATGACAAGGTCCTTGAGCGGTTTTTGAAGGCTGAGCCAGGTTCAAGATGCAAATACAGCCATATGTCAGGGATCCGAGGGCCTCCCAAGGAGGGGCGGCGGAGGGGGTGCAGCAGAAACGGGGGGTGTAGGCAGAGGGGCGATGAGGTGGCTGCGGCTAGCTCGGTGCTTCCCAGGCCTGGGCTTGTGTCTGAGTCACCGGTAGGGCTCGTGCAATCATACGTGGCCTGGCCAAGCCTGCGCCAGGTAATGGCAATGCTGCTGGCCCAGGGGGTACACTCAGAACCCCCGGGCCAGATGCAGGGGGCCTGGGTGCATGAACTTCCTTCTGTGGAAACTGGGAGCAGCTGAAGGTTGTAGAGTGAGGGTCACAGCTGGCCAGAGCAGCTGCAGCGAGATTGGGCTGGGCAGGAGGCAGAGACACATGGGGACAGGCCTGGACGGTTAGGACGTCACCTTCCCGCTTCCCGCGGCGTGGCAGGAAGCAGACAAAGGCGGCGGGGTCACAGCGAGGTCGCTTTTGTGTTTGTAGGACAGAGCTTTTTATGGGTTGCTTTCTTCTGTAAAGAGTGAAAAGAGCGTCTGCAGTGGTCCCTCCTCCAGCCCAGGTACCCCCTCAGTGTCTTCCTGGCCTGTGCCCTCTGAGGGACCTGTCCCTCGGGGCCTCTGCACCCTCTCCCCTCCCTAAGCTCTGGGGTCCCCCTTTGCTGGGTTTCACAGCCTGCCCATTTCCCGCTTTCCCGCCCTGTCCCCCGACTCACGCTGCTCTTCCTGAGGCCCGGTCATCGACATATTTTCCCCAAAAGGCTTCCCCAGCCCCTGTGTGGCCTGAACACTCACACGCTCACGCGTGTCCCGTCACAGCCTCCGCCCAGGGCTGCACGGGTCTTAGGCATCCGACTGCCCGAGCTCCCAGGGACCGAGCTCCGACCTCGTTTGTGTCATGAGGCCGTGTCCGTTCGCTTCATTTTCAAAGGTTAGGAAAACAAGCCGGCGCTCACGGGATGTGTTTTTTTTTTTGAAGGGGAGGAGGGAGTTCTGTTCTTTATGCGAATGGTACCTATTTCATGGAAGCCGTGATGCTCCCAACTGCTTTTCAAAAAGGAATTCTGATATCTCGGTCTGTTCTTAATTTTCAGTGCTATCCTAGGCTTTTTCATATTTCCGATCTAAACCCTGACCTTTCAAAACAAGACTATATAAAAATGTAGAAATGCACTGTGAGGACCAGGGAACTGTGTTCATCTCGGGCGGGTCCAGCCGAGGACTCGGCCCCGTTGCCCTTCTGCAGCCCCGTGCAAAGGAGGGGTCAGGCCGCCCCACGGGGGGCACCACGTTTCCGCCGTGGCCTCCCTACCCATGCTGCCCGGCACAGAAGCGTGACCGTGGCCATCTCTGCTTGAGCTGCATGGTCACTGGGGCCATAATGAGCCCCACCCCCTGTCGCAGCCCTGTCCACTAGCCTGTGGAGTGCTCTCCATCAGCTCGCCCCGACATCACCCTCTGTCCCCGCCTCCTGGAAGGGGCTTCGTTCTTGGTCTCCTGGTCTAGACCTCTACACGCACACCACCCCCCGGGCACGCCGCCCGCAGCCAGCTGGCTGTGTCTGTGGCCTGGCCGGGGTGGGTGGGGGGGCTCCCCTTTGTAACTCACCCGTTCGTTCCGATGCAATGTTGGCCGCGGGGCTCCCTCCCACCTGACTGCAGCAGACGGTCCGTCTCAACGAATGGTTCAGGTGCGGTTCGTGGCCTCGGCCCATTGTCTTTGTCCACTTCCGATGCTAAGGGCTCTGTGAGGCGGCCGTAGGGGGCTAACCGCGCCCGGCGCGCAGTGCGTGGTGGTCTCTCAGGCCTCCGTCTGCGTGGCCCTGGCGTCTCCAGGGACTGCGTGGTGTAAAGCCACCCGCGTGTGTGTTGTGTTTCGTGTGTGGTGTGTGTTTTGTGCCGTTTGTATGTGTATCGCATGGTTGTGTTTGCGTTGTGTTGTGGGTGGTTGTGCTGTGTGTTGCGTGCTTGCTTGTGGGTTGTCTGTTCTGGTGCGCGTTTTGTGTGGTCGTGTTCTGTGTTGTATGTCATAGGCGGCTGCGTGTTGTGTCTCCTGTGCCGTGTGGTTGTTCGTGGTGTCTGTTGTGTGTGTGGTGTGCGGGAAGAAACACTGCACGTTTATTGACACGAGGTCCTTAAATCTCTTCACACTCGTGTTCCATCTGGGGATGGTTCACACTCACCAAAGGGATGATGAGTGTCTGAAAACTAGGTGACGTGTTACCACAAAGCAGAAGGCACTTTCTTTCCCGAGCCTTCTTTACTTTGCCTCCAGATTCAATCGGCCTAGTTTCTTTCCTTCCTGAGTTAACCACAAAGGAAGATGCAAGAAGCTGCGGATCATATAGCACAGGAAAAGCCCTCTGAAAGTGAAGCTCTCGTGGCCAGGACCTTCCTCACGAGGCTCTCGATTCTGTGAGGTCTCGTCCTGGCTTCGCAATCCCTGTACTTCCCGTGGTGTGATGAATTCATCTGTGCTACGCTTTAGTTCACGGACAACTAGCGTGAAGTCAACACATTCCCCATTTCGCCAGCCGCGTGTTTTCCCTCGTTACTTCTTGGAGTCGTTAGGTGGTTTTCATAAGTCTTTTTTGGTTTTCCCTTGGATCTTCTCTATTGGATAATATTCTTTAACGTTTTTGCCTGCTTCGAAAAACGGTTAGTGTCCCTCAAGTTCCACAAGGAGCCCCGTCGAGCTCTCTTTCTGTTCTTGAGTCGTAAGCCGCCCAGTGCGAGGCTAGTTCTGCCCTGAATTGAAGACGTGGCATTAGGAGCAGAGACTGGAGCCTCTGTCATGTTCCCGTGGCAGCCAAAGGGCTCCCCAGCTGGGCGTGCCGCATCACACCTGGGCCGGTGTGGCCAGAAGACTAGCAAACCACCCATAGGATGGTGGGGCCTGTGGCATGGGACCTGAGGAAGCATCATGCCACGTTCGGAAGTCCTGGGCTTGTTGGTCACGTGACAGGGACCTTTAGTCGACCTCACAGACGCTCTGAGAGGCTCAGAAGCATGCGTGTCTGCTAGTGTTAACTGCTAGATAGTGGTGTTTACTTAGTTAAGCTAATGAACAAACAGAGAAGCACGTAGAACTGTAATGCAGCTGAGCTGGGGACTCAGCTGTTCTGCAGTCCAGCGCCTTCTCCTCCAGGAGGCTGGTGGCCTGCGCAAAGCTGAGCTCACGCGGGGAGAGATTCTGTCTCTGACCTTGTTGGTGGGGGAGGGAAGGGCAAAGTTTATTCGCTTATTTGGAAGTCATTTTATACAATAAGCGCTGGTTCACCTTTCGGAGCCCGTGGTTCTCACTCCGCATCAGGGTGAGTTCTCCATTAACAGAAATTTAAAAGCGTTTCTGCCCAGATGTTTCTGGGAAGCCCCTGAAAGCGATGCTGTAAATCAGGGGTTCCCCAATCCCTGGAGCGTGGACCGGTACCTGTCCGTGGCCCGCTAGGAACCGGGCCGCACAGCAGGAGGTGAGTGGCGGGCCAGCTAGTGAAGCTGCATCTGAATTGGCAGCCGCTCCCCAGCGCCGGCATCACCGCCTCAGCTCCGCCTCAGATCCTCAGGCGTTAGATTCTCATAGGAGCACCGGTCCCTGGGGCCCCAGAAGGTTGGGGACCGCCGCCGTGAGTCCCGTAGGAGTAGCCGCGGCTTCTCTGCAGTCTGGGCACGAAGGCGTGCTCTGCGTGACGTCCCTGAGTCGTCTTGCGTTCTTTTCCAGGAGGAATGAGGTCAACTGGAGGCCGCACTCCTGGCACGCCGTCAAGTTCTCCGACGGCCACCCCGACCCCATCGCTGCTCCGTTCTCCTCTGCCAGTGACTGCCCTCCTTGGCACGGCCGACACCACACGAGGTAGGTGCTGGTTTCTCGCGGGGATGCAAAGTTTGACGCTCCGTAGCCCCTCCTAGCGTCCCAGCCCTGTCCTAACGCCACTTCTGTGCCCTTCAGAAAGATTTTGTTTCTCTGATGGGCAAAGGCCCTGGACACACCGTTACTGGTCGGACCCTCTAAGTGTGCTCCCTGCGCAGGCAGTTGTACGGTACTTAAACACAAACCAAAAAACCACCGAGAGCAACGAGGAACAAAACGAGCTTTCTCATTTCTGGTCTTTAATCGATGAATTGATGAGCCTGGGGACTCACCTCTTTGGGCTGAATCCTTTTGGGCCAGCTGAGTTGGTAGCTCTGAGCCCAGTGGGGTGGACACCCAGGCCACACTTGCCCACAGCATACCCTTTTGAGATTTTAACACTCATTAAAAGGCGGGAGCTACTTCTAGGTCGGGCAGGTGTATTTTGCAAAAGCTTCCCCTGAGCACAAGACTGAGGATGTGGGAATTGTGGGTCAGTGGAAAATGGAGTGCTAGTTGATCTGGCACACCTGCGGCCCACATTTCAGAGTCAGAAGGGCTTATCTGATAGTGCCAGGTGGGTGTTCGCTCGGAGAGACTCTTGCTACTCACAGGGTACTGACTGGTCACCTCGGGTTAGTGGCCAATGTCTTTAGTAGGATCCTGTGTGCATGTGTATCTATGTGTGCGTGTGCATGCATACCTCTGTGTGCTTGAATGTGTATTTCTTTGTGCGTTTATGTGTATGTGCATGTGTGTGTGCACATGTGAGTGCACGCATATCTGCACACATGCACATGTGGCTATATGTGTGCTCGAATGCTTGTATTTGTGCATTTGCTTATGCATGTGTGTGTGTGTGCGTGCATGTGTGAGTTTACATGCATATTTGCAAGTGTGCTTGTGTCTTCGTGTGTGTGTGTGTGTGTTTGGAGCCAATGTAACCATCTCAAAATCAGTTTTTGGCCTGCTACAAATTTGCAAAGTGAAGTACTCATGGGAGGTGAAGGAAATATGTATCAAATACAGCATTAGCTATTTAAAGTGACAAGAGATGATGCTATTGGGAGCTCAGGGTAATTTTCGAAAAACCGCAGATTCTCAGTTGACTGGTAAAACTTCAGTGAAAAGCCAGCCTTTTATTTCATTACTGAAGTGACTTAATGTAATAGAATCTCCATTAAGCCCATATGGTGGTTTCTCGAGTAAAGAAACGGTGATGCTGCCCAGACCCTTGTGGAAACCGTGCTTCGGCATTGTTTATATCTGTTTGCACTTGGGATCTCATGGAAAAATCACCTCGGGAGTGTTGGTGGGAGACTGGAGAGGAACGTGCTCTATTTCTGGGAAGGGTCCTTGGTCTGTCCTCACAGGAAGGGGCGTAAAACCCAAACAGGCACCTGCCTCCCTCAGATGCCTGATCCAGTTCACTCTGCTGTGTCCTTTTCCGAGTTTTTTTTCCTTTTTTTTTTTTTAAGCCTTGAAGCATGAATATTCCAGCTTCTTTGAGCTTTGACGAAAGTGTTTAACGTGCCTGAGAACAGAGTTTCACTGTCGAGAGCTGTCAGCCTCACCCAGACACTGTTACTACCTCACAGAAGAATTAATTCCCGAATTAACCACCTAGCACTGGGCTTGTTGTAATAAACCCGTTTTTTCGTTTCCTCCTCTTTGACCCCCATCCTAGTGCGGAACCCATATTTTTGTCATGTGGGTGCAGCTCCAGTGAGCTCTGCAGAGTTTGATCCAGGGCACTAGGACACACAGCGTTTGCTCACACTGATAAAGCCTGTGTCTGGGGTTATCGGCCAGATGTTCCACTGACTGCAAGTTGACGGTGGACCTGTTATTACTTTAATATTTGGGTTTGGAAAAGTAATGTTCTCTCCGAATTTCCCCTTTTAATTAGAAAATTATTCTTTTGTGTTCGTACTCAATAATAAAAACCACTTCGAACGCTGAACCAGGGACCCACATTATGTTCCGTAAGGGGCCACAGGGGAAATAGTTCAGCCTCTGTGGCCAGTGTGTCGTGAGCACTCACCTCTAGCTCGAAAGCTAAGCTGCCCCAAACTGTGTGTAAACAAGTGGCTTGTGATTGTGTTCCCATCGAACTAGATTTATGAACACTGGGATTTGAATTTCATATCATTTTCATGGGTCCCAATATAGTTTTCTTTTGATCCTATGCCACAGCAAACATTAAAAAGTCTAAAAACTGTTTTTTAGCTCGTGGGCTTCAGTTTGCCAAGAACTGTCCTTAAGTAGTGATTGACAGCAGGTGGGTTCACACAGGCACGGCCTGCCGGTGACCGCTGTGGACTTTGGCCAGCCTGTGGGCATGAGGTGAGAGCTGGCCCGCCCGCACTGGATGGTCCTGCCCTCGCAGAGTCACTGTTTGAAAGGCGAACACCCAGATGTGTTAAGGTCACGTTTCCGGTCCGGTGATCCCATTCCAGGAAGAATTATTGTCACCCGGCATCGTGACGTTTCTGCCCGGGGCCCGCTGAGTTCACACTGCCGTGTCCTGTCTCCCTTCGCTGCGACTCGAGTCTAACGTCAGCTGTCCCTGTGGTTCTTCCCTTTCCCAGTTCCTCCTCCCAGGACCTGTCGGGCACGTGGGAGCAGACGAATCTGCAGCAAGCCTCCGACCAGTTCAGCTCCCTGGGCAGCGTGGACAGCCTGGACCACCCCCCCTCCCAGCCCTGTCCCCCCGGATGCCTCTCGGCCGCCAAGTCCAACAGCAGCATCGACCGGCTGGGCGGCCCGAACAAGCGGGACTCGGCCTATAGCTCGTTCTCCACCGGCTCCGGGACACCTGACCACACCGTGCCGAAGGCCGACGCCTCGTCCACCGAGAACATCGTCAACAAAGAGGGTCTGTGGGAGGCATCGCGGCCCGGCGGCAGCAGGCAGGATGCTCAGGGCCCGGAGGAGAAGCTCAGGTATTCCCCACCCAGGGTCCCCTGCGACAGTAGCAAAAGCCTGAAGCCAGAGGAAGGGCCTGGGCCCAGGCTGGCCACTTCCGGGAGGTCCAGTTTCGGGCCCGTCTGGTACGTTCCTGATAAGAAGAAAGCAGCAGCTTCTCCTCCCCCGCCCCCTCCCCCTCTCCGAAGTGACAGCTTCGCTGCCACCAAGAGCCACGAGAAGGCGCAGGGCCCTCCGTTCTCAGAGGCGGCCGGCGCAGCGCACTTTGCGAGACTGAGGCGGGCGCAGTCCCGTGGCGACTGCAGACCGGAGCTGGCCGATCAGCGGCGGAGGCCGGCACGCCTGGGCCACGGGAGACCCGGCAGCGTGGGCAGCACCGCAGGCGTCCCCCTTGACTGCGGGTGGCCGCCGTCCGGCCCCGGGGTCCCCAGCCGGCTGCAGGCCTCTGTGTCCAGCACGGACGTGCGTCTCCCGCCGACTCCCAGCGGGTGGCAGCACCTGCGCCAGTGCAGCGACGAGAGTCTGTTCTGCCCCGACAGCCCCTCCTGGGTCCCCCTGCCACCCCGGGAGCGTCTGCGGAAGGCCCTCACCGTGGGCCGCCAGGAGCGCCCCGCCCGCCGCGTCCAGGACGAGAGCCCCTCTGAGGTCCCGTGGCCCAGTGCTCCCGACCACAAGTGGGACACTAGTGAGCAGGGCCACTACCACTCTGTGACCACGAAGGTGGGCCTTCCGGGCAGCACACGGACAGTGCATCGCCATGAGGTCCGCTGGCATCACGACGTGCCTTTGGGTGCCCATGAGGGTCCAGCAGGCCCCAAATCCCGCTGTCACCCTCCTCAGCATGAGGCCCTGGCTGCCCAGGATGGGCAGAGGGGGAGCTCAGGGGAAAGAGGAGCAGGGAGCCGCTCCTCGGGACTGGAATGGCCCCAGAGAGCCGGCCCCAGCGACAGAGCCAGTGCGAAAAAAGTCGCTGACAGCTTCAGGTGGCCCGACGGAGAAAGCAGCAAGATCTCTGCCCACAGGACGCCTATGTTGCACTCGCTGACTCAGGACGCCGTGCAGGCGCCCGAGGGCGTCCAGGTGGGCAAGCCCATCCGGAGGAGTGACCGGTTCGCCACCACCCTGCGGAACGAGATCCAGGTGCGGCGAGCTAATCTGCAGAAGAGCAGGAGCTCGGTGACGCTGGCTGGCCCCTACGAGGCGGAGGGCGAGGCCGCCGGCGTCAGGGCGGGCGTCAGGGCGGCCACGCTGGAAGCTGCGCTCCCGGGCACCTACAAGGACCACCTGAAGGAGGCCCAAGCCCGCGTGCTGAGGGCCACGTCGTTCAAGCGCCGTGACTTGGACCCCAGCCCAGCTGACCGTCACGCAGCGTCCCTGGAACGCAGGGCCGGGGACCCCCACGAACATCCCGGCACTGCCTCCCGCGTCGCGAAGGTGGGCCTGGCCAGGTCGCCCTCGTGCGCGGGCGGCGTGTCGCACGTGGCCCGCATCGGGGGCCGGAAACGGCTCACGGCGGAGCAGAAGCTGAAGTCGTACTCAGAACCGGAGAAGATGAACCAGGTGGGCCTCTCCGGGGCTCACTGCCCACAGCCCGAGGAGAAGGTGGGGACATTTGCCGACAGGTGCAAGTTTTTCGAGGAAACCAGCAGGCCTGTTTCGCAGAGGCCGGGGCCAAGGCAGGCGCTTTCTGGAACCCTGAAAGAGAAGCCGGAGCAGGCACGGGCCACAGGCCATGGGGGCGAGGGCAGCGAGCCTCGGCTGCAGGAGCCTGCCCGCAGCACCCCGTCTGCCAGATACGTCAGAGGCCCCAGCAGAGCGACGAAGGTGGGGAAATTGGAGCCGCTGCGGTGGTTCGGAAGCTTTGTAGAGTACGAAGCCTCTTGGAGGAGGCAGAAGCAAGCTCAGGAAGTCGGGAGTTCCGGGCGGTATCACTCGGCCGATGACATCCTGGACGCGGGTCTGGACCAGCACAGCGGGCTGCAGTACGTTCACGAGAGGTCCCAGTCGTCACCATCCGGAGATCTCTGCAAACAGGTAAGCACGGTGCACAGGCAGGACACTGCCACCCCCCACCGCTGGCTTGAGGATGCCTAGGACCACCCCGGACGTCACGGCTCAGCGGCGGTGTGACTTTTGTCCAGCTGCTGGAGCATTTGTGTTGTGCCAGCATCAACTTCTGGGGAAGGGGTCTGGGGACAGAATCCATGGGTTCGCGACAATTGCAAATGCTGTGTGTGTCACCCCCAGCTCGAGTTCCCAGCCCCGTAGTCATCGTCTCTTGCCTGAGCTGTGCCCGTCTCCCATCCCCCATTAGAGTGTTCCTGCCTTAATACCGAGCAAAGAAACTTGGGGGAAACTGTAGACAATGGCAAGTTCTCCTCTGAAATGAGAAGTGGTCCTTTACGTGAAGGGTCAAGGCGACATGTGATAGCCGCTTTTCAAATATTGATGTCATTGACTGTTTTTAGTGTCTTTTCTATATTCTTATTATTTGCAAATGTTTTTAAAACTGCTCTGGGGCAAACGTCATTAAAAAGCAATGCGTTATGCTGTCGCGCTTTTTTTAAGGTAAGAATTTTGACGGTCAGAGTCGACATCTAACTTTCTAGGAAGTAACGTATTTGTATCCATATTTCTAAGTCAGCAGACTGTCTGTCTGTCTGTCTGTCTGTCTCTCTGCTTTTTCTGCCGTCTAAATCTGCATCTGTATATGTCGAAGAAAAGATTTCCTGCAGCACCAGATGCAGCATCCTTTAAAAGAGCCAATAGCATAACATTGCACAAAATTCGGTGTGTGCCCACAGAGGGAGAGCTGCCGCCTGTTGCTGGCATCCTGGTGCCTGCAGACATTGCGAGCATTGTTTCTGCCCTGGCCTGTGGCCTGCGGCCTGTGACCTCTCAGAATTCCATGCTCGCTCGGTCAGCAGGCGAGAACCCCAGACTGTCAGGTCCCGGGGCTCGAGGCTTCGCCGCAGTGAGTCGTAACCAGCTGAGTTTGATTCGATCTGGGGTGTTGGGCCGGTTGGCTCCCACGGTTTTACAGGCCTCGCGTAGGCGTCCTGCTTCCTGCTCGGAGCTGAGGTGGACGCAGGGTGTGGTTGGGGCGTTTCGGTGCCACACTTTGCAGAGCGGAGCTGGCCAGCGTGCTGGCCGAGTGTTGGTGCCAGACGGCGGGCGGCGTCACTGCCCGTGGCCCAGGACCACAATGAGGGGGTTCGTAATAACAGAGCAGGCGGCTCGATGACTTGGTGTGTCCCTTGCTGCCCTTGGCAGGAAGCCCCCATCGAACCGCGGCAGCCAGCCGAGGAGCCCGCCGAGCACAGAGAGCTTTCCTCCACAGCCTGGGCCGAGGAGGGACGTCCCGCCCTGAGGTAGGTGGTCTTGGGGTTGCTGACAAGGCTTCTCGGGGGCTGGGTCTCTTTATACTGGGTGAATGCTGGGTTAACGTGGTTGGCTGTCTGGCCAAACCTGAACTGGCCACTCACTGGACACAGTTTCCAGGGTCCCCGGTGTGGGAGCCCCGTCGTGTCTTGAGCAGACCCGTGGAGGGCGGTGACGGCTCACGAGGCCATCGTGGCATCTTTGGTTGTTAAAATGGCTGCTGATTTCGGTGCATTGCGATCCTCCCTGTTGACGGGAGAAGCCCTCTGTGACGGGCCTGAATGAAACGCTTTGCCTGGAGTGCCGGATGCTTTCACAGCCTCATACGCAGTTGGGTGGCTGGGGCGCTGTCCCCAAGTCGGAGTCGCCACGGAGGGTGGCCGGTCAGGAGGGGGTTTGGGCGAGGCTCTCAGAGGGGGCGTATTTCGTGGGCTGATGGGGAGCTCTGAAGTAGAAATCAAGTCCGTTGGCTCCCCAGGTGAGGCCCAGAGCGCCGGAAAGAGCTCCAGATGGCAGCGGTTACCGGCAGCGTGTGCCACGATCCTCGGATGCTGCACGTGCGGCCGTTCCCTTGTAAGCGAGGATGGAGTTTAGATTAAATATGTCGTGTCACCTTGACCTTCATCCGTGAGGAGAGCGGGAGGAGAAATGTTCGTGCAGCAGCCCGGCTATGCCCGGGTTTAAAAGGGCCGACAGAGGGCTGGGAATAAGTGTACAACGGGGTCAGCGTGTGCAGAATTTTCTGTGGCTTTGACAGTCTCCGGTGGTTGGTGCGATTTTGCAATGAAACGCTAACCTCGAAATTCAAGGTTCCGTGGCAGAAATGACCGACCAAAGTGTTTGCTTCTGAGACGCTTATGTGATGGCGTTTTATTTCACTTGGCTTTAAACCGAGTGCTGTAAGCCTCATTCCGGAGTATTAAATGTTTCAGTGGCTCCGAGGGACCACAGTGGCATTTTGTGCATGCTCGCGTAGGCAGGCAGTCGGTCACTTGCCAATCTGCACGGCCGAAAGCCAGAAGTGCTGGGCCAGGAAGGAGGGCCGATGAATAGCACAGCTACAGAGCCGAGGGCGTGGGGAGCAGGCACAGTTACAGCTCTGTTCCTGTGGGTTCCGAGCCGGTCACGTGACGCGCGCCAGCTGGGGTCCTCCTTCAGCGCCCTGCTGCAGGGGGGGGGGCAC